TTCGCTTCCAGGACCCTGAAGCAGCTAAAAAGATGGTAGCCGACCCCTCTCACCCCGGACAAAACCTGTTTGTGCCCCTTCCATCTGGCAGGAGGCTGAGGTCCATCAGGACTAAGACCTCCCGCCACACGTACAGTTTCTTCCCGTCGGCAGTCGGGCTCATCAACAGAGCCCAGTCCCCCACTGCCTGACTATAACACTCCACCGGTCACTTTCTTTCATTCTGACCACGTCACTTTCACATGTCACTTGTCACTTTTCACTCATCACTTTTGTCACTTTCTGTTCGCTGGTGCACTTTATAATTTTTAAATATTTTCAACTTTAATTTTATTCCTTTATTTTAAACTAACCCATAGCAATATTTTTTACTTTATTCCTCGTGCACTGTTGTCTTGTCGTCTATTGTCGTCCATTGTCTGCTGTTACGCACCAACCGCCAAGTCAAATTCCTTGTATGTCTGACATATTATGGCAATACATGATTCCTGATGTGGAGTACACAGTTCCAAACGTACTGTTTGACATGGGACTAACGCTGCACAAGACACTGCATGAGGATGCTGGACCCTATTTGTCGTATTCACATACGTAGTCAAGTTTGAAATGCTGGATTCATCTAGTGATGAAAAACAGTGACAATGTTTACTTGACCTTTTATTACTGACAACACTACAATAGAATGAAAGAAAACCTTCATTTTCTATGGAGCAGTTCCTGACATTATACTTGATCCAACTTTATTATAATTGCCCTGGATGACCACAACTTCAACTCAATATCACTTTCCTCATTGCCTCATCTGCTGATCATTTATTGTCCCTTCCATTCTCAGGCCCAGGTGTGTTGTTTGGTTCAACCCAATGAGGTGGACTTCAAGGAGCGAGGCAGTGAGGACACAACGCGGTGTGTGCTGAGCAGGGGGGATCATTCATGTTCAGATCTACTGCCTCACCTTGCTGTCCGTCAGGAAGACAGGCGGAGGGCTGCACCTGCTGAGGACTTCACGGCTGCTGATTTTCCTCATGCGACTTCTGATGTCTGGACTGTACCTGCGCAAGATCTACACACACACACACACAGTATGGACAGTATTTACAGTGTATGCTTAAGGCTGTGTCCCTCTCAGCGTGGATTTAGAGGACAGATTACATTTGAGGGGAGTGGGGAAAGATCATTGATGACCATCTATGCACAGAACCCTGACCTGCTCGGCCGTGACGGGCTCCGACGAGCGGCTGATGGCGGAGATGTGCACCACTTCCGCGTCGGGCTCGTTGTCAGTGTAGCCGCCGCCCTCGTCAGCGGTGTCGTCCAGGTCGGAGGTCAGCCGGCTGTCCATGCTGAGGTAGTCGGCGGACAGGAAGGACAGGCGCTCCGCGTCCTGGCATTCCAGATCACTGTCTACTCCCTCCGGCTAGAAGAGACACATGATGGATCTTGGGTGCACAGGAAGGAAGGACGGACAGACGGATAGCACAAGAACAAGAGAGAAGAAAGACAAACAGAGCCGAGCTGTAGAGCACTACTGGAAGGAAGCAGGAAGACACACAGTGAGCATGCTCAGAGCCCAACGAAGGGGTCCGCACAGCAGCCCCTCCCTCACTGCTCCAACTTAAATAGCCGCAGTGTGAACCAGTGCCCCCCCCCTCATGCTCCGGGTCGTAGGGTTGGTACAGCCCGGGTGGTTCTCCTATCAAAGTGAGAGAAGACCTTCGTGTCCAAGTGGCTCTGCCACACTTTACACTTTGGGATTATACAAGCTACACATGCCAAAGTTAAACAATGGATTTGGATGCAAAAGTGTAAAAGTTGATCACCATAAGTCGAGTGCCATCTAGTCCCATTATGTTGGAGAGAACAGCATCTCTACAGCTGACATACCAAAAAATAAGCAACTCACATCAAAACACTGTAGTTGATGCATTACAGGTGGATACATGTGTATTTCCTTTTTGGGGTGTGAAACGTATTTAGCTGGTACAGTCCTAGGATCAAACTGGGGATTGGGTTCTGAGATGTCCCTCTTGACGTGGAAAAGTGCGTCACCGTGTCCCCACAATTTAGAGACGAAGCTGGTGAGCTGAAAGGACCTGAGGCTACCGGCTTTATACGGGTCCGATTGTCCGATCATACATCTTTTGTACTGTTTTCCTCGGCTGGACAAATGAAAACAGATTCTTCAATAACATTTTGAAAAGTTTCACTGGGGGATTCGATCGCTGACTGAAGTGCACGGCGGAAATCAACGTGTGTGTGTGTGTGTGTGTGTTTACCTTGCCGTCAGAGACCCACACGGCCTGCATCTGCTGCTCCCGGATGGAGTCTTTGACGCCGCCGTACCAGGCGTCATTGGCCGAGTTCAGATCAACGGTGGCTGGTGGGGAAAGCAAGCAGACCTCAGCGTGCACACTCACGGGGAAGCAGCAAGTATGCAGCTGCAGCGCTAGGACGGGCCGGGGGTCCGCGCGCGCTCGGGACCCTACCAGTGAATAAGTGCGAGCAGGTCTTCCTCAGCTTGACGGCCTGCTCGTAGAGCTTCCGCCCGCTGCGGTTGGAGTTGGGGGCGATCCTCTGTCTCATGGCCTTGATGCCGTGCTTGCTGTCTGGGTTGAAGAAGATTACTATGGGGTACCACTGGGTGTAGTTCAGGGTGTCCACCGCCTTGGGCGTGACGTCCAGCAGGGCGTGCTTTTCCTGCGTGGTGTGGGGGGGGGCCAAACGGAAAGGGCTGTTTTTGTCTTTTTAAGGACACATGAGGCAATCAGTCCTCATGCAAACGCCTTCATATGCTGGGCGCCGCATGGCGTCTGATATGAGCTTATCACGACTAAAGCGGCTAAATGTTCCACTCTCTGTGTGCAACAAGCATATAATACGCTTATTATTAAGTACAATGACTTCACTTGGCCCCCCTTATTTTTCTTCCCCCTCTAAACACATCGGCAGAAGAGAAAAAAGGGTGGTCATCAGGAATTGAATTGTTCTTCCATGGCAACTAGTAAGATGCCACTTTTCCGTATGCTGAGAAATGAAATGTTTAACCATAGATCAGCAGGACTGACACAGGCCTCCGGCTCCCGCTGCTCTGACCCGTGCTGTCATGAACCGGACCCCCTTCCACTCCACTAAACATCTCATCCGCAAATACCAACTCAACTTTTACCGTTTCTATTCATGTACGATGCCCTTAAATGGGTTGACATGGTTTTCACATGTATGTTGCAATGACCGAACCTAGAACTCGTTCATGAGGTTCCATGTCTAACAGGCCTGTAGGCAGGTGAGGACACATTTAAATGTTCCCTTTTTATAAATAAAAGAATGCGTGATGTAAGTAGCCTGAAGGTTCTACGGTCAAATAGAGGCCCTTTCCCGTCATGCTAAATTATTCAATGTGCTTCCTTTAACCGCATCAATATCTTTTACAAACAAAGTGCTCGGGGCTGTGAGTATACTTTGCATGCGGCAGCACCAATGGTCGGTTGGTGCTCCGATCAGCTGAGGAATTCTCCTCTTTCATCATGCCGTTGGCATGGAGAGCTCTACATCGGCCTCTGATGGGGCCTCTTTTAAACACACATTGGACGTGGCACAGACGGAATGTGAGCGGGCACCTGCTCGATGATTTGCCGGATGGTGTTGAGGCGGACCACTCCCGAGGACTTCTCAGACCCGGCGTCCTTGGGCTCGGTTTCTAACGGAAGAGCACAGGAGGACTTTCACTCTGTGGGGGAGGAGGACTGACACATGGACGCCTCAACACAAAGGAGACTCACTGGCGACCACAAACAGCTCCGGCATCTCCGAGGCCAGCTTCTCGTTGGCGGCGTCGGCGATGGGGCCGAACAGCACCACAGGACGCCGGAAACCCGCTGCAACGACACGCCAACACAAATATATGTGTTGTAAGCAGGGTAAACGTAAACGGGACCAACGAGGCCTAAATGACACCAAACACACACATTGCCCTGTACATGTCCTGTTACTCATCTGTTGGCCTGAGCAGTATTTGTATTTTTAATATTCCATTGTATATTTAATTGAATTTGTTTATTTGTCCAACATGTCCAACATGTCCAACATGCATACGTTTGTTATTTGATAACTGTGAATGGCTAAATACAGATGATGATACACCGTACCATTGGGTTAATTATGGAGAATAGATGAGTTCCAATATGAAGTAGAAGGTTCTGCTTGTTGAGTGACTCTTCTGAGATTAAACGTGTACCAGACCAACCTTACATGAGCTAAATGTGAGGTTTCAGGGCAATAGGAACAACCCTCGTGGTTTGGGGGACACAGTGGGACCTTCTGGTTCCCCAGCGTCCCCACACACCGGTGTGCATCACCCACCCTCTCGGAGCACCACCCGCTCGTACGCTGGGAAGCGCGTGGCCAGGGTCTGACTGCTCAGGTTCTCCCTGCTCTTCCTCAGGTCCTTCCTCTTCAGGGAGCGCTGGCCCCGCAGCCGCCAGAAGTCGGCCCGATCGCCGGCAGCAGCTTTGTGAGAGCTCTGGACGCTGGCCATCTGCTCCGCTCTGAGGGGGGAGAGGAGGCAACGCTCACTAATCCATCGGTTAGACAGATCTACAGGGAGGAGTTATGCATCCATCGCACAACGCCTGCTCATTTACAGTGTGGATGGCACATTTTAAATGTGCAGCCTGCTTCGTTCTTTGGTAAACTCAGCAAAACAAAGAAGACCAGTGGGACATGTGGCTCAACCCCCAGGGACCCTTGGAGTCATCCCTTAGGCCGAGCATCAGCGTTGTGAGGCGCTGACAGAAGGGTAACGGGAGTAGAGTCCGCTCCCACAGCTTTGGGCAGCGGTGGCCCCTGGGGGTCAGGCGGCTGAGGGCCTACCTGCTCTTGTTGGGGATGATGCCCTTCTCCAGCAGCTGCTTGTCTTTGCCAACACGAATCGCCAGCCAGTTGCCCAGCTTGCCGTCGTAAAGGGTGTCCACCACCTTGAAGATGTCCCCCCGGCTGAAGGCCAGGCTCTGAGGAGTCTCTTTCTCGTACTCAAAGTGGGTCCGGATGAAGAAGGAGTCCCCGCGGCCGGACACCAAGATGTCGTTGTAGACTAGACAAAGCCAAAAGGAGAAGGGGGCGTTAGAGGCCCATCTATGTACACACAGCATCAACGGTGCAATTGGGGGGTTGGTGCAACAGGTTGGCATCCTGAGAAGCGTCTCATCAGCTATGAGTCTAACAGAGGGTCTCCATTGGTGGTCAACATGCCATTAGGCCTCTCTCAAGGAAAAGAGAACTCCTCGTCCCTTAAAGGTGACATTCCAGAGCGCAGCCTCTTCTATCTGACATCATAAGGAACATGGGAATCTGATTTGGTTGTATACCACACAAAGAGCTAGCGCGTGGGCCTCGGAGCTCGGCCTACTGGGCCACACGCAGGTCCAGGAGAACCTCCCTGCACGCATTTCCACTCAAGAAAGAGGACACACTTGTCTGGCTGTTGCATGGTCCGACAAAGCGCTACAGTCTGGCCCAGTGCGCTCCACGTTTCCCTTCCAACGGGGCAACGATAGCGTCAAACAGCTCCGCTCAGCTGTTTTTACATGAAAAGGAAAAACAGGAGAACATTTTCATTGTAGTTCTATTAGCAGGTCCTTTGGGCTCTCAGGAGGTCATGTGCCTATGCATCCAATCACATCCATCCAGTTGGTAGTATGGGCCCTTAGAACCACGTCCGCTTTGGACTCACACGGCCCATTGGAGGTTATTAGGTCATTCAACTGTGATAAGACTGCACAGGAGACACAGGTAGAGGAACAAAGATAAACCCTTTACTGTACTAGCGAGCTCCTTGTATGGATGGAATTTGTCCTGAAATGAGAAGCATTCTTCTCCACAAGAAACCTTACAACTGCCAGTGTGCCCTGTCATCCATGACCATGTTGTTGTTTGATGACCTTGAACGTCCTCTGCTGGACGCTGGAGTCACTTCCCATGTCAGGTCAAGGCTCCACTCGGCTGAACGCTTCCTAAATAGATTTCTCCAACGAAAAAGGCCTTTTTTTCTGGAGCCCAACGCTGGAGGGGGCCAATGTGCTGATTGCATAACGCTGTTGGAGGCATGTGCCCGTGTGTGTCA